CCCCCCCCCCCCCCCCCGAAGAATCGATATTTTAAGGTAATTTACAAAAGAACAACACACATCAAAATACGACACCGCACGGTTAAGGTATGGAACCACCCAGTCAAAATTACGACGTCACACAATCACATTACGGCACCACACTGTCAAATTGCGGCAACACCCAGTCAAGGTACGCCACAAAATTTTCCAATTGAGGTAACACAAAGTTAACGTTTGAGACAAAACAGTTGTTTTACGATAGTAATCTGTAACATTAAAGGCTCCACACAGTCAAAATATGGTCCTGCATTTCAAATTATGGTGCCGCACAGTCAAATTATGGTGCCACACAGTCAAATTATGGTGCCAAACAGCCAAATTATGGTTCCACACAGTAACATTATGGTTCCACACAGTAACATTATGGTTCCACACAGTCAATTTAAGAAACCTGTAAACAATTCTAGCCATGTTTCAACACTTTCTATTCCGGGCGTAACAAGGAGGAAGTTCTAAATTTAGATATCAATTGTTCCCCCTCTTTCTGTCTGCGTTATTCTGCACGGCTCCGACTGCGCCCCCCTGCTCGTAATAACTACCTACCCTTATTACCACGTCTATTCTGGAGGTAATTGTTTCAGACGCGCTGATACCCTGGTCGGGTAAAAGGTGAGGTCTTAGAGTACAATGTCACAAACAACTGTACGATGGGGCATTCGTACGTGTAACGCCACGTCTGCTTGGGGTGTTTAAATATGGCTGACTTACTTCGATGCTACACATTCGGAAAAAATACGCTATGTCATGGTGATAGGAAAGGAGGTGGGGGGGAGGGGGTTGAAGCAAGTGTTTGAGATTGTTGACTACACATTTATGGAAAGCTTGAATATAGCGAACATAAGTCTTTTAAAAATATGAGTCAGCGAAATATATTATTTATATCAGAGTCACCTGCTGTCTCAGGAGACCTACTCAGTGATGCTGAATTGTGAAGATTATTGGAAGAATTAATTCTGTGCTCTAGTCCAGTGGTTCCCAAACGTTTAAGTTTTTATTTCTATTTGACAATAAATGTTTGTGTTATGGGGACCGTCAGCGTTAGGCGTGCGGACCGGTGAAGGTCCACGGACCGCCATTTGGGGACCACTGCGGGACCACTGCTCTAGTCTATAGAGAGATATGGTAGTCCATAGGGACAGATGGCGTGTCCCTTGAAAGATCGGGTGTCAATCATAGAGAGATAGAGTGTGTCCATAGAGAGATATGGCGTGTCCATAGAATGATATGGTGTTGATCATAGAGAGATACAGCATGTCGAATATAATATGACTTCAAAAAACACAAATTATATTTGTTTTAGTAAAGCATAATTATTAATTAATTAATTAATTATTTTTTTTTTGGGGGGGGGGGGTGGGGGGGTGATAGATAAAAAAAAATACTTTTTTCTTTGTCATAATTACGACACGATTAATTTAGAACCTCTGAGATTCATTGTCCCATCTTGCTTTATATGCCAGTGGCTGGACTCTGGTTTTATTTTTTTTTTCCTTTTTTTTANAGTAGAGAGAGGGGGGGGAATTAATGATGGTTCCCACTTTTCCCTCCGTTTGAGACCTGGGGGCCATAGCTTTCTGTTGCCTATACGTTGACTTTAGTCCTTTTATTATGAGTAGCAGTATTTAAATCAGATTAGGTGTTTTCTGTTTGGAGAAGGCGTTGTGCTGAAACGTGCAACGATTGTTATCTCGGACAGAATGTTTCCATGGTTTTTTTTAAAAAAATAAAAATTATTTAATTTATTAACAACCACTCAAAGACGCTGCTTGTTGATTTGATTTATTTTTAGACTTTGCGAAATATGATTTGAGTTTAAAAAAGAAAAAAAAAATGCCGTGCTAAAATTCACTTCAATTATAAACTCAAGCGACTTTTGCCGACCACCCCCCCTCCCCGCCCCGTGATCATGAAATCTCTCTGAGGACATGTTTACTAGATTAGTTAATCTATTTGGCCATTTCATCTCCATGCATTACACTTTTGGTTTAGGTTTCGTCAAAACGATAGCAAAATAGTAGCGTGACCAAAAACTATGACATCATTGAAGAGATCACAATAATGAAACAAATCGATTAAACATCTACTATTAGCCAAAAGCTATAATCAACTTATACTAGCGGGAGAGACATGAGAGATATTCCTTCAAAATGTTTGATAAGACAACATCTGCATGTCAAATAAACAGGTCGTTCTCAAATAAATTGTTCTTAACCATAATCAATTATAATTTTAAAATGATAAGCTCTATATTCTAATACGTTGCCCCCCCCCCCAAAAAAAAAAATAGCAGAACTTCCAAAAAAACAGACAAAAAATAACAAACGAAGTATGTCTGATGAAAATAAGAAAATGTTATTATTAAAAATGTGGCACATTACGCCCCTTGTACCGGATCGGATTGTTTCCCCTGGATGAGGTCAGCCGCCACCTCTCCTATCATTACGGTCGCGGCGTTGGTGTTGCCGGACACAATGTACGGCATGACCGAAGCATCGGCGACACGCAGGCCTGTCAGTCCCTTGACCCTGAGCTCGGGGTCGACCACGGCCGTGACGTCATCGGCTGACCCCATCTTACACGTCCCCACGGGGTGGTACACCGTCAGAGGTCTGGATCTGATGACGCACGTCCAATAATCTTTGGAATCGTATTCGTGCTGATCACACAAGCTGAACTTCTTATCCACTTCGTGCGTTCCGATATCAGCCATCGTTTTAGTTCGGGACAGTTTTCTGCACGTATCGATACCTCTACGGATGATATCGATATCTTCTTGTTTGTCGTAATAATTGGGATAAATCAACGGCGCGTCAAAGGGGTCGGAGCTCTTCAGTTTGAGAACCCCTCGGCTCAGAGGGCGAATTAAAATCGGGGCACACGACCAACAGCTACTGAGGTTTGCCCTGCCAGCGTCAAGTTCATCGGCAACCTTCTCGTCCATGTTTATCAGTAACATGAATTTGGAATTGGAACATCCTGACCCGAAAAGCAGTTGAAGATCTGGCCAGTCCATCGTCTTCATCGCCGCCGTGACGGACGAGAAAAAGTTGAGCTCCACCCCGAAGGTCGCCCAGCGCCCAGTTCCGAACAAGGTGTATTCAAGCATTGACCATAACGAATTCAAGTCCTCCGGTCCTTGCGCGTCCGATGCATTGTGGCCGAAGAGGTAGTTAAAGAAAAGATGGTCCTGGAGGTTTTGACCGACGGGCAGGTCGGCGACCAACTGTATTCCTAGATCTTCCAGGTGTTGTCTCGGCCCCACGCCCGAAAGCATCAGAATCTGAGGGGACTGGACGGCACCGGCAGATAACACGATTTCTTTCTTTGATTTGACCAAGAGTTTCCTCCCGTTAACGATAACCTCCACGCCAACCGCTTTCTCGTCTTTGATTAGAACTCTCTGGACGAACCCGTTTAACAGAACGTCCAAATTCACTCGCTGTAGAGCTGGGTGAATAAATGCAGTCGCCGTGCTCGATCTCATGCCGTTGTCAATTGTGAGCTGCGCCAGGGCGATGCCTACTTGGGATTTCCCGTTGTAATCTTTTTTAAAGGGAATCCCCATTTCTTGGAAACCTTGTATAACCTTGTTGGACATGAAATATTCCGGTTCCTTCTGTGAAACCACAAGAGGGCCCCGATCCCCATGATACTCAGACTCGCTCAAACCTGGGTCGTTCATTTTTTCCGATTTTGTGAAATATGGCAAGACGTTTTCGTACGTCCACCTCTCGTCACCGGTGTGGTGCGCCCATCGGTCGTAGTCGTGCCGAGACCCTCGTACGTACATCATGTAGTTGAGGCTGCTTGTACCACCAAGGACACGCCCTCGGGGCCATAAGCTTTGACCATCCTTAAGGCCTTGGTACTTTCCTTTGGCTGGTTCTAAAAGCCGGGAAATAGAAGGACTGGTTAGTTTTAACTAATACTAACATATAAAAAAACATATGAATACCTGGTTGCTGGGTGCCTTTTCAAAGCAGATGACTTTGTGACAAAACTTAAACTGATTAAATAAAGTATTTTATTTTATCAGATAGAGATATAGGGTAGGAATTTCACGCACGCTATGCTCGCTTATGGGCAGAGGCGTCACAAGGAGGGTGAGGGGGCGCGGGCCGCACCGGATGAGACCCTCACAGGGAACGGGGTGACACCCTTGGTTGCCAACTCAATAAAAATACAATTTTGCAGACACATATTCAAAACTCACCAAGCTAAAATAAAATCCGAAATCCTTGCGACTCTACATTCTTTCTCTCTTTCGACTCTGTCCAATGTCAAATATCAAATACGTGTGTTGCTATTACCATTACTCTATGTCATTGGACCATGAGACATGAGCCCAGTTTAAACATTAGCTTATTGTATATGACAGTCTCACCAGTTTTCACTTCATTGGGAAGTACAAAACTTTAGTTACTATACTCACCTGTGAGCTATTTAGTTACTATATTCACCTGTGAGATATTTAATTACTATATTCACCTGTGAGATACTTAGTGACTATGTTCGGGTTTCCGTGAAAACCCAAGGTGAAGGCCGGTGTGGAAATTTCTGGAATTCCCCGATCATCTCCTCCTGCCTCGACCAGCAGTACTGTGACGTCAGGATTTTCTGAAAGCCGATTGGCTACCACGGCACCAGCTGACCCGGCCCCAACTGCAACAGAAATATGTAGAGTTCACTGATTGAGTTAAGCAGTGGTTCTCATTCTTTGGTACACATAGAAACAGACGGAAAAAATCTATTTTCCACAATGCGCATATTTTGTCGTTTGGATGTTTTGATGCACTGGATTATAATGGATATTTGGATTTAGTATTTAAAAACAAACTATTTTTCACAGTCATGAACAAAACGATTAACAAAGGGTTTGATGCCTATACGATATTGTACAATTATATATATATATATATATATTTTATTTTTTTTTTATATTATTGAAGCATTTGAAAATATTTGAGTCTTCTTTTCTAGGAGGGGAGCATTTTTTTAGTAAAGCTTAGTCACTCTCACAGACATGCAAGGTACGGACCCAGTGTTTCTTTCAGAAATTTCCCCCCGGGGGGAGCCCTTCAGATTTTCGGGGGTGGGGGGGGCTCTTCAGATTTTTCGGGGGGGGGGGCAGCGCCAGCAGTTCCATTTGATTTATTGTTGGACATATTTTTGCTCCGGGGAGCACTTGGCTTTCCCCAAGCCCTGCCCCCCCCCCCCCCCGAGATATAGCTCAAAGAAACCCTGTACGGACCTTGTCCTGCTCCCAATATTACTTTATGTAACTTCTGTCACACCTCTTGTACCCACATATGGCTCCTTCTAACAGGCAATGGCACCTTTCACCCACTGACATTCCAGCTGTGGCACTGTCCCGTTATCAAAGACGATTCTATATCTTAACCTACCCGACCGTGCAGATCGTACCTATGATGTAATCATACGATTCTTTCGGCGTCTTGATAAACTGGTCGGCCAGTTTGGAATCGGTGAACCACTTCACAGCCATGGCCAAGGCGACGATCCCCAGGAAACCAGCGCTGAGCAATGTTCGCATTGTTTCGCTCTGCTTGGGGGAAATGCTTGTCTTCTCTTGGACCTTTGCAAGAAAGCTCAGAACATCTCTGAAAATGTAAATATATAGTGAGCTAGCTACAGTTTGAGACGCCCTGAGCGCTTCTTGACAGTGAGCTAGCTACAGTTTGAGACGCCCTGGGCGCTTCTTGCATGTAAAGCCCCCTCACACACGGAAACCAAAAGAAAAAAACAATAACAAACAGAAGAGGCATCAAACAAAAGCCAGGCACGCCGTAAGACGAAAATGCAGCTCCAAAAGTGTTACTCCTTATATTATTGTAGTGCTACTCCTTACAGTATTGTAGTGTTACTCCTTACAGTATTTTAGTGTTACTCCTTACAATATTTTAGTGTTACTCCTTACAGTATTATAATGTTACTCCTTACAATATTTTAGTGTTACTCCTTACAGTATTATAATGTTACTCCTTACAATATTGTAGTATTACTCCTTACAGTATTGTGAGTTACTCATTACAGTACTGTAGTGATACTCCTTACAGTACTGTAGTGATACTCTTTACAGTACTGTAGTGATACTCCTTACAGTACTGTAATATTGATTTTGACCGTTAAGACAAAACCAGAAGGCTTCAAGTCAAACATGGTTCAAATGACATGACAAAATGCCGTTGAAATCAACCCTTAATTAGTTATACAAATGACAAATTACTACGCAAGTCTTGAATGGTCTTTATTATCATTGATAAATGTCTATCTGATTATCAGTGATCCATGTCTATCTGTTTGTCACTGATCCATGTCTATCTCTTTATCACTGATCCATGTCTATCTGTCATTGATCCATGTCTATCTGTCGCTGATCCATGTCTATCTGTCACTGATCCATGTCTATCTGTCACTGATCCATGTCTATCTCTTTGTCCCTGCTCCGTTTCTATCTGTGATCGGTTTGCCAAACTTGACTTTGACATACAGACTATGACAAAAATGACAAGTTTGAAGACAATTCAATGTTTTGAAGGGAGGCCGAGGGTTGTAAGAAAAGTTGATTGCTGTTGTTGGATAAATATCTATTGTCTGATGAAAAATCTGTTGCATGAAAATGTGTTTGTTAGATGAAGTCAAGCGCGTGTAACGCTAAAGAGAATATTAGATGAAGTCAAGTGCTTGTAACGCTAAAGAGATTATTAGATGAAGTCAAGTGCTTGTAACGCTAAAGAGATTATTAGATGAAGTCAAGTGCTTATAACGCTAAAGAGATTATTAGATGAAGACAAGCACTTGTAATGCTAAAGAGATTATTAGATGAAGTCAAGTGCTTGTAACGCTAAAGAGATTATTAGATGAAGTCAAGTGCTTATAACGCTAAAGAGATTATTAGATGAAGACAAGCACTTGTAACGCTAAAGAGATTATTAGATGAAGTCAAGTGCTTGTAACGCTAAAGAGATTATTAGATGAAGTCAAGTGCTTGTAACGCTAAAGAGATTATTAGATGAAGTCAAGTGCTTGTAACGCTAAAGTGTTTGGATCACACTCAAAGAATATCGGCTTAGCCATGCGAGAGGGAAGACATGGCTTTACCTGTTTCTCTTCAAATTGATGATCCAGTGATCGCGTATAGTCTGTTATCTCCATAGTACATATGTTAGAGCCGTATCAGAATACCAAATCACAGCGCGATTATCCATGCCATCGACACATTGACCAGATACAACTTTCAAACTTATCTCACCGGCGCAGTGTGCCAATACAACTTTAAGACTTAACAACTTACCAGCACGTGTGCCAATGCTTTGGGCCGCGTGATCTGAACACCACCGGTCGCGACTGCTATACACTATGGCCGTCACGCACCAAATGACATGGAACGTTGGTGTTTACAATGTTGCCGTGTCAGCTGGGCTTGGGACCTGCTGGTTGAATTGATACCTTGGCACATTTTCAGCAAGACTGTGTCAATGTGGTCAGACCACGTATTGCGATGGAGGTATAGTGTATCGAGGCAATGTGGTCAGACCACGTATTGCGATGAAGGTATAGTGTATCGAGGCAATGTGGTCAGACCACGTATTGCGATGGAGGTATAGTGTATCGAGGCAATGTGGTCAGACCAGGTATTGCGATGAAGGTATAGTGTATCGAGGCAATGTGGTCAGACCACGTATTGCGATGAAGGTATAGTGTATCGAGGCAATGTGGTCAGACCAGGTATTGCGATGAAGGTATAGTGTATCGAGGCAATGTGGTCAGACCACGTATTGCGATGAAGATATAGTGTATCGAGGCAATGTGGTCAGACCACGTATTGCGATGAAGGTATAGTGTATCGAGGCAATGTGGTCAGACCAGGTATTGCGATGAAGGTATAGTGTATCGAGGCAATGTGGTCAGACCAGGTATTGCGATGAAGGTATAGTGTAATCGAGGGCCTCTTATTTCCCTGTTGTTTTTTTTGTTTACTTTTTGCTAATGTCGGTAAAACGGGACAACAATCACTCTCAGCCCGGGATGAGGGTAACTATTTCTCGAAATCCCGAGATAAAAATAGTTCAATTAAAATAAGTCATAAACTGAATTAAACTTTACTACAGTTCTTTTGCCTTTTTGTTGCTGAAATGTATTTGATTATTAGTGGATGCAAAGCGATGTTTACTGTAGTCGAGAAGTTGGTCACTTTTGACTAGTTGCTGCTTCATTTTTACGCTGCTTGTTCCCACTAATAGATTACATAGCCAATGATATGCCTGTCAAGCAAAATTTCGGATATGAGTTGCTCAGCTTAGTCGAGAAGTTGGTCACTTTTGACTAGTTGCTTCATTTTTACCCTGCTTGGTCCAACTAATACAGGTGTTGGAAACCTATGGCTATGGCTCGCGAGCCAGATGTGGCTCTATTGATGGCTGCATCTGGCTCGCAGACAAATGTTCGATTATTAAAAAAAAGACGCATTAATGGTAAGAAATACTCATTATTGATTAGCAACAGCATAACAATGTTATTAAAAAGAATTCAGAGACATAATTATTGCATTTTTAGTGTTGAAATTACACAAAATGCGCACATTTACTTGAATTTTTAGTTTTAATCATAATGTATGTCTCTCACAGAATTACTTTTCAAAATATGTGGTGTCCACGGCTCTGTCAGACAAAAAGGTTCCCGACCCCTGCACTAATAGATACAGAGCTAATGACATGCCTGTTCAGCAAAAGTCGGATATGAGTTGCTCAGCTTAGTCGAGAAGTTGATCACTTTTGACGAGTTGCTTCATTTTTTTACCCTGCTTAGTCCTACAAATAGAAAAATTGCTAATGATGAATGAGACTGTTTAGCAAAAGTAGAATACGAGTTCATGGTCGCCTGTTGAAAAAAACCCAACAAAAACAGACACGTTTACACTTTACATGACTTTGGCGTCATCTACTGATCTCAAATTTCTAAGTTTCAAATCCTTCATGAAATATTTAAAAGTCGGATGCATCTAACAACTTGTAACATGGGGTTCTTTTTTGAATATTAACAACACCAAATAATGTTTAATATATGTAACTAGAAGTATGTATTGATTTCACAAGGTTCATTTTAAAATGTAAAAGAAAACCAGTATCTAATTTAAAGGTAGATTAACCCATTATCGTGGTACGCGGCGTCCAATGGGGTTGCCTAGTGATTGCTGTGCTGTGGCCGGCTGAAACAACAGACTTAAGAGACGTAGCTGTTTGAAAATAGTTTCATTTATTTTTTGTGCCCCAAGGTTTAAGGTACAATTTTAATCCTGGTCTTATATATACCGTTGATAGGTCATGGTTGTTATGTAACAGATAGGTCAATGGTTGTTATGTTGCTGATAGGTCATGATTGTTATGTAGCTGATAGTCATGATTTTTATGTTGCAGATAGGTCATGGTTGTTATGTAACAGATAGGTCATGATTGTTATGTAACAGATAGGTCATGGTTGTTATGTAACAGATAGGTCATGATTGTTATGTACCTGGTAGGCCATGATTGTTATGTAGCTGATAGGCCATTATTGTTATGTTGCTGATCAGTCATGATTGTTATGTAGCTGATAGGTCATGATTGTTATGTAACTGATAGGTCATGGTTGTTATGTAACTGATAGGTCATGATTGTTATGTAGCTGGTAGGTCATGATTGTTATGTAGTTGAGAGGTCATGGTTGATATGTAACAAATAGGTCATAATTGTTATGTAGCTGATAGGTCATGGTTGTATGTACCTGATAGGTCATGTAAGCGGTATGGCATTGACACGGTGAAAATTGCGACGGCCCCTGCGATGTAGACAACAGCACCGTGTGACATACAAGACACACTGCTGGCCACCTACTGCATCCTGGTCCGACAAACTGCTGGCCACCTACTGCATCCTGGTCCGACACACTGCTGACCATCTACTGCATCCTGGTCCGACACTCTGCTGGCCATCTACTGCATCCTGGTCCGACACACTGCTGGCCATATACTGCATCGTGGTCCAATTCAAGTCGTCTTGGTCAAGTCTTGCCATGAGATCAAATAGGCAAGAACGAGAGAGTCGGGATGACAAATTGAGCAAATCTCACTCACTTTAAGCAAAACACAAAGTAAGTCAAGCCTACTACTCAAATTGAAGACTTAGTAAACTTCGTAGGCGAAGGACCAGATGTATATATATATATATGTCATTTATGTGACTTGTAGTACAGGTGATGATAACGATTATATGTATCAAACGAAGTAAAAACTCTGGGTGAAATACATAGATGTTTATGATATGCGCCTTTATTGTGTAGTTATGCGATTATCTCTCCTATCACAACTCTTTCTATTGATCTATCTACACTTCTACAATTACATGTTAAAAGCTACATAAACAACACATACATGCTAGAAACTACATATACAACACTTACATGCTACAAGCTACATTTAAAACACATACATGCTACAAGCTTCATATACGACACATACATTTTACAAGCCACATAGAAAACTCATATATGCTCGAAGCAGCATATACAACTCATACATGCTACAAGCTACATATACAACACATACGTGCTACATATACAATACATACAAGCTACATATACAACACATACATGCTACATATACAACACATTCATGCTCCATATACAACACATGCATGCTACACATACAACACATACATGCTACACATACAACACATTCATGCTCCATATACAACACATACATGCTACACATACAACACATACATGCTACACATACAACACATACATGCTACACATACAACACATACATGCTACACATACAACACATACATGCTACACATACAACACATACATGCTACACATACAACACATACATGCTACACATACAACACATACATGCTACACATACAACACATGCATGCTCCATATACAACACATGCATGCTACACATACAACACATGCGTGCTACACATACAACACATGCGTGCTACACATACAACACATGCGTGCTACACATACAACACATACATGCTACACATACAACACATTCATGCTCCATATACAACACATACATGCTACACATACAACACATAAATGCTACACATACAATTAGGGGAGGGGAAGGGTTTGAGGGAAGTTAAGCTTCACATGATACATCTGTTCTATTTTTTTTTTTTAAATTTGCGCTAGTGTCACACCAGGGGCGGCTGTAGCCTACCACTGCCCTTAAAAAAAGCTAAGCCACTGCCAGACGACCTGCACAGAATTTATAATGTATGGGAGCGTATTGCGGTTGAAACGGCTTCCGGGGCCATGGTTATTGAACAATGAACTTTGAACTTTGACCGATGATTTAAACAAACATAAAAATCCGCTCACTCAGCTTAATGAGGTCTATTAAAAAAAAAAAAAAATGACAACAATTCATCTAGGTTCACGTTTTAGTTACATAGTAAGTTCCGTCCATTTTATTAACAATTGTAGAATGCATCAACTCACCGGCTGTTGAATAGATCAACTCATCAGCTTCATAGTTGTTACGATGGCAGTAGCAGTCAGAGAGTAGTAGAGTACTGCAGACAAACAGCAGATTGACAGACAATTCATTAGAAGCGTGTACATTTACACTACAGACAACTGGAGAACATCCAGAAATGCCACGTAAGAATGCAAGACATGCATTAGGGGACATACTGTGACGTCACAAGGGTTGGTGTCCTCCCCTTCCATATTCCCGCGGTTCTGGCGATAATCGGTTATAAATTTACAAAACGAAAATCGATGTTTTGTTTTCTGTTATATATATAAGTATGTATATATATGAGCTATACTGATACAACGCTACAAACCCGAATATATTTTGATATGTTCGGATTCTCAAAATCATAATATTTATTTCCTATTATTTTACGGAAATCGAATAAATATACATGCGCAAAAAAAAATTATGTTCCCACTTTTATTTTAGCAAAAATTTAAGTATTATTATAATAAATTACAAATTTAAAGTAACAAATAAGTAATTATTTTAAGCATTTTATCCGAATGCAAATGTTATGAAAACAAATTTTCATCAAAATATTATGATCAAAGAATTGCATCTTAATCACATTTATCGGAAAAAAACCCAGGTATCTGTTATTCTTAATACGTATTTTAGTGCGTTGTTAAAATTGCGAAATAAAAATAAAATTAATTTGATCTCCATAATTAAGCAAATGACGTCATCGCGCGATTGCCTATTTTAGCCACAGCTCTAAGTTTCTTT